TATATATATATATATGTATATGTATGGAAGACATGGACGAAAGAATATGAAAGCATACATGCAGGTCGAAATCGTAATAATGGTAACAATAAGAGCAAATGTGCATTGAATTGAAATGGAAAGGAATGTTATTTCGTTGAACTCTCAGCAGCTTTTCTCCTATACAACATCGTATAGATGGGTGCATGTGGATACTTTTCAAATGCAATCCAAACACGTACACACATACATACGTATCTAGACAAACTTTGACACGTGAATTTGAATAAGACGCTGAAATCTTTTCTAGTATCATTTGAAAGAATAACTGAGCGTGTAGGTGTGCGTGTGCACAAATTCGCGTATATATGGAAGAAAAGTAATAACAAAAAAATGGGTACAAATAATTAACGCAACCGAAAACAACTAAAAGTTCAAATGAAATTTCAATCCAGTAAATGATTGCAAAATCAATAGTTTTGAATAAAAAAATTTCCATCTGATCGTATTTAGCTCGTTGGTCGATCAGGGAAGTTTTTTTTTTCCAATAAAATAAAAACATTTAACATTATTTCAACTTTGTCTAAATGCATTGAATTCAGTCTCAAGTCTATTCCTTTCGACGAAACTATTCGCACCGTTACTTTTCGCAATTATAGCTTGTTACATGGCTGCTAAAGAATAGTAGCAGAAATTATACGTACTATAGGGTGTACGAAGCTTTCGATCGATGACGAAAGTATTTTGTTGCCATATCAGGGATGAAAAAATGAAAACTTCAATATGGCATGCAATGATAGAGAGCGTATCTCTGGGAGATGTTTAACGAAATTTCCACCGTAATAAATGCTTTTGTGAAATTGATAGCTGAATAACCTGATCTTATTGCTGATGTAATCGCTATTGTTGATAGGCTCTGCTTATCTACTAAAACTGAGTTGTTCACATCGCCGTGTCTATCGTATGTAGCACACGTGATGTTGTTTCTACTGCTGCTTTAAAGTCATTATTATAACAAACATATCATTCAATAAATCTCCAGTGTCGCATAGATATGGCAACACTGTTGTTAGACCCATACGTTTTCTGAATACTAACAGCCTTCAAACTGAATGTGTCAAAATTTTATTACACTCTGACAATTGGTTTAAGACCTCTTAAGTAAAGTCTTCACTAACAGAATCAATTTCGCGACGAAGTCGCCGAAACATTCCATCAGGCGATAATCTACTTACATACAATTTTATATCAGCATTAACGATGGTTGTTGGGAATCTACATAGGCACACGTACTGCTCAATTTAAAATAGTCAAGTTAGTGCTAAGTATAAAGAATGGGGACTATTAGTGTACGTGACGGCTAAATTCGATTGTTTCGAACTCGCTCCATATAAAATAACAGTTTTCCATTTAACATTATTGACTTATACAGCGCACGCCGACGCTAATTATGGAACACTCAAAATTCTTGTTCTTCCCAAGTCATTATTTTTGTTGTTTAGTTAAAGAAATCTGGTGCCAAAGACCACCAAACATTTTCAGAGGCTCATGATGATACTGCTCCATCATATCCTAATTGTCGCTTTTGGTATCAACGGTTTAAAAGTGACGACACGAATTGATTGAAAATGCCAATTGTTGCATTTCGGACAATTGTTGCAAGAGTAGTCCCGAATACACTGTTGCAGCCCACATGGGAAGTTATGCTATATTCAGCATACTCAGTAGAAATGGTGCCTCTTGATTACCACTTGGCAGTTGAAGAAGTGTCGGTGGATGGATCGCTGCCAAACCAATATAAGTTCTCTCGACATGATTTCGGCACGGGGCTAAAAATATTGTAAAATGTTGTAGAAAATGATGGAAACTATTTCGATGAATATATTTTGTGTCAATTTTCTACAATAAAGCCCTTTTTCAAGCGCATCGAGTCTTCGATATACAGCTTAAATTTAATTAGCACTTTAGAAGAAATCAAAAGTATTTCTGCTATATGTTAGTGTGTCAATTAACCTATCGGATGCAATCTATATTCACATTAATATATGTATTTATGTAAAGTTTTCGATCAATATCCTTCCTATATAGTAAGTTGTAGTCCCTTCACCTATTATGGGTTCAATTCGATTAGCAAACTTTAATCTGTAACATAACATACAGGTTGCGGATTGTAATCACAAACGGCTGACAGAAAAGTCGACGGAGCGCGTAACTTACGTGTATGCTTTCTTCATTTCAGGACATTGTTACATTGATCACACAGATAATATATTTTATAGAGTGTTCAGGTAGGCTACTTCTGAGTAGCCTGCAATGCTATCAAGTGCTGATAATTTTTGCAGAGTCAGTTTCGATTTAACAAAGGATGTTAAGCTTAGCGAAACGAAATTGCTAAACGATTAGTAAAGTTCTTTTGTTCCCGGCAAGGATCGACGCGTTGAACTCCACTAGTAACTATCGCCTTGCGTTTGCCTGCTGGCGTATAGAAAATGTGATGACGAAAGGTCGTATAACAATTTTCCTCGCCATATGTTCATTGGCAGAGAATATGCGCAGACTAGTTTGCATAGATTTGAAGTGTTTATGTAAAAAAAAAAAACTTCCTACAAGATCGGAGAACTGTAGCAAAAACAATATTAACAATTGTGTTAATGAGTTGGACTATGACGTCAATTGAGTGATAAGATGGCCGTCGCATTATAATTTCTGGAGTTTGTGTTAAAAGAATAAAATGTACATCGATTATCTCTAAAGAATTGATAATCTTACAGAGAAATATTCGATTTACTGGAATTCTAGGAAATTGTTTATTTTAGCTTTTGATTTTCACTGAGGCCGTAATGAATGCTTTTTGACTAAATGGGCCGACAATGCTCACCTTCGAATAATGAGCATCTTTATCCACGAAGCTTCCACGTTAGGTTTCTAAAGGCAAATGAATCACAGCGTTGTACACCATTTTCAGTTCATTAAGAAAAAATCTCTTTCTTTAAACTATAAATAGTCGTGAAAAAACTTTCCTTTACCAATAAGAATTTAAAAAAAAGGAAATACATTTATACCAAGATTGATTCGATTTAATAGTTCAAGTAGTCGAAACGTTATGTTAGTTAAATTACATCTGAAGTAGATGTCATTTGCCACACCCGGTATCTTACATAATAACTCATTCAACAAAAAATGATTCAAGGATGCGCATATGTTCTCGGCAAATGGTATTTAGTTTGCTTTTGTTTACAGATAATGATGTATCTCGCTAATTACACCAACAACTTCATCACTCCGTTACATTTTAAGCGTTTGAAAACTGCGGCCTTTTTTCTAACCGTATCACAGTGCGTGCTCGATCAATTTCTATTTTGCGAAGGAAGAATTTGTGAAATGCGAAAAGTTTACGTTAAGCTAGGACTTTAAGAATCGCTTAAGGAATCGCTTACGGCGAATGTTAAAAACCTAAGCATATTAACGGTAAAGTGTATTACGAAAAGTTCAGAAATTGATAGCTGATACTCGGAAATTGTCGCAAGACTCTCAGAGAACTTGCCAAGGCGATTCACAATACACTGACTAATATCTTCTGCGTGTAGAGGTATTTCTGTTGGAAGGGCTTGCAAACATTAGATGAGAGATTTTATCGAAAAACTCCTTTAATATAATCGTAGAAACCTTTCTTCCTCTTCTTTATGTAGCTTAATCTATCATTATGAGGAAAGCATGTTGAGTCAATAGTAGGCATAAAAGGCTACTCTACTATACTACTCTGGCTAGTAAGGAATTTAAACAAATTTACAAAAGATGCATAGGGGATAACACCAATCGATAACGCCTACTAAAATTTGATTTCTCTAAACTTTTTTCGATAGCCTTCGCAGCTATACATATATACATATATATGTATATATATCCCTTCAGACGTGTCACGAATATTTTGCATATTTGCATCAAGTTTTCATTTAAAAACAATGTCGACTGACTTCTCAACGCGTCGAAATGTATTACCTGATAAATATCCAGCGTCCTTTTCAACGTTAATATAACTTATACGAGGGTAAATATAATTACATTGATGCGTCTACAGCACCCAGGTACAGATGACAGGGAATCTATAAAAATTCTTTAACCAAATTGACTTAGGCTCTACGTCACTACGCAAGAACACTCTGAGATAGTAAGCTGAAGCTGGACATATACATTCTCGGTTGATGATCCCAACTTACGCTTAAAAGTGGGCTTCGTAATATACATCATCATATATATATATATATATATATATATATATACTTGCGGTGATGGGTATTTAGTAGTCGTTTGAAGACCGACTTGCTTTATTTTGTTTTGTATTTTTTTGTAGATACCCCGTTGTCGCGGCATTTTCTTTTGTCTACGTTCACGATTTAATTTTGTGTTATGTTGTTAAAATTGGGTTTAACCCAAACCGCAAATAAAACCCATAATGAAGAAAATTACCCCGCCCTTTGTATGACACCTAAGAAAGCTAATACGAATGAAGCTTTTGTCTACCCTGGTATACAGATTTAAATGATAGTGTTTTCCAGTCAGTGATTGTATTTTTCAAAATAAATTCATCATGATTTCGATTAAGTTTTTTAAATTAAATTAATAAGCAAATAAGTAATATCTTTAAATTAATTTAAAAAACTTTATTGGCGACGTTTACGGGAAAAAAAGTGTGCACTTTCATTAAAATATTCTATAAAAACACAGAGACAAAGAAAACAAAAGTTATCCCTTCATTCATTTTTGTTGGGTTTCTCCACGCTTTTTACGAGAATGAGTAAGCATTCTATTTATTTAAATTTTTTATTTCATTATTTATACTATTTTGAGATGATATGAGAATATATTTCTCGTCTTGTTATGCACACATTTTATAAATAAGCAGAGAAAATCTAAAACAAAAACAGTTTAGTTCAAGACGCGAAAGTGCGAAGAAAACCGGTGTCAAGTTGAAATCTATATAAAAAAAGCTTTCAAAATATATAATACACAAAATATATATATATATATATATATATATACAAATACAACATCTGCATACAAAAAATATATATATTAATTCATTGCAAAGACAACGTCTGCACACATAGATAGATCGATAAATTTTGAGCATGAAGTGCTTATATCAAAATTATATTTTATTCATTGGACTACAAGTTCTACTTAGTGAGGCTCAAAGACCATCTTTTGCTGGCATACGACCACCGGATGGACTCAATCAATTGGATAAATACATTTTGAATAGTCAAGCAAATAGAGAAAATAATAGCAACAACAATAACGATGACGGTATAGAAAACCGTTTTGGCAAAGTTGATGTTGCAATTGCAACCAATGAAATACCTTACGGCCAGACACAAAAACCACCAGTTGGCTTACCGGTGGTATTAGCAGAGCCAGTTAATACGATTCTATTACCGCCGCAAGTATCCAATAATGTGGCATTTAGTGGACGTTTTGGTGAAACTGATAATGAAAGTACTGCGTCGACGATTGCATCTACAACTATGCAAAAATTGCCATTAGACGCTCAAGGTGATCAATTATTAATAGATCGATTGAATCGTTTACCCGAAGATAGAAGACCATTTTGGCTTTTAAATTATCAAGCAATTGAGGCTCAACGAAATAGCTCTGTAGCAAATGTTGCCGGCGGATCGAGGGGTCGTAGCCCTTTTGCCGGTTAAATTTAATTTATTTAAATTTATGTTAAAAGTATTATTATTGTTTGTAATGAGACCAATCGTTTCAAGAAAATATTGTTAATTAAATAAAAACGCCTTGCCATCTCTTAGAGCAAATGTTTGCTTTAGCTTTAATCTTCAAATTTCAATTTACTTAGGGGAATTCTGCGTTGCAAATTTTAATTAGCCATTAATCTTTTCATCTTTGCAATGTGAAGTGAAGTGTTCAAGTGATGCATATTTAGATGTGTTTGTAGATAACAATAAAATCATTTATTATTATTTTAATGCATTCACTTCGCTCAAGGTAGAGCAATACAATAAAAAATGGCTATAATAAGCGTTAATTGCTTCACATTGGCGATAGATAAGAAATGTCAGCCAACCAGCCACATACGCCCACTATAACACTGCAATATAATTCTCTCTCTCCTTATTGTTCTTATTATTGCTGCAACTGTCGTTGTTATTGTGCTGCTTCATTTCGTTCGTATTATTTTAGTGTTCACACAAAGCATGTAGTTTGGAGTTCTGTTTTGTTTTCAATTCCACTCCTAAATGTCAACGAGTTGAACAGTTGTGAAGCAAGCGAAAAAAAAAAAATAATGAAAAATAACAAGTAAGAAAATTAAATTCGGTCGGGACCGAATCTTTTATACCCATCACCGTGTACCCCAAGAAAAGACAAAAGCAGTAAAAGAACAAAATGCTC